ATTTCCCATGAGGGAACATTTCCTAAGTACTTCTAAGGAGCTCAAAATCTGACTTGCTTCTTTTGACAAGGGTGTTCTCTACCCAACAATCTCGCCTTCACTCCTCACCCTTCTTTTGTCCTATACACCCACTCAATAAGCTGCAGCAACATAAGATACAGATGGCTTCATCTCATCTCCACCCTTTCCTTCCTTAATGACAAATGGCCTAGCTTCTGTGCCCTGAATTGTCCAGAACATTCTTGCTCTCTGATCTCGAAGGATCTTGTGGCAACATCATGGGCGTTTTTGTTTTTTGTTTGTTTGTTTGTTTGTTTTTTCACTAGGCTTCATTCTCCATGGTCTTTCTGCAGAATTTGAAACTCAAGGCCTGCAAGAACTTTCTTCTAGAAACCCTGCCAGGTGAATCCCCCATGCTATAATACTGTGATTTCCAGTTTTTCCAGATCACTCTTTATTCACTTTCTTTTTATTCTTTTTTGTTTGTTTTTTATTTAATAAAATTTTATTTACAACTTTCCCTCAAACTACAAGTGCTCTTCAGATTAGCATTAAATTATATTGCACATACATAGTTACAACATTTAGATTTGCTCTGTAACATATAATCACATTAAAAATAAATAACTTGCCATGTAATTCATAGTTTAATTGGTCTTAAATAGTTTCTCTGGGGGGGGGAATAAAATTTTTGTGTTAAGAAACTGATAAATATAATGAACTGCTATGTATTCATTTAAATTCTAAGGAAACCCAAAGATGAAGATTTCTTGTTTTTTCTAAAAATGTAATACAAGAATGCACTGAACCACAACATATAGTGATAGAATGGAATAGTATAGACAGATGCAATCTTCTAAGTGTACAGTTGTAGGATATTCCAGGTGGGGGAAAAAAAACCTGATACTAGTAATTGTTTAAAGAAAAAAAACTGAAGTCAACAAAAATGTTGAAAAACAAAATTATACACTCTTAAGAAAAAACAACACAAAAAACAAAACCTATAGAACTGAAAAACATTTATTTTACTATCTTAAAAAGCAAACTAGAGAAGCTGATAGGCAGAGGGAACTAAATGGAATTAAATGCCTCTTAAATTGAGGCATCTCTACACAAAAACGGAGACAGTATAATGAACTGACCTCAGAAGGGAAATGAGTAAAACAAAATTTCACAAAAGTCTTAATGATACCTTACTGCACAGAGTATCAAAGTTACAGTCTGTATTTTTCTCCTTAGGTTCATAGTAAATGATCAAGCTTCTGTTTAATGCATGCTTTTTGTATGTCTTCTCTGTAGCAACATATGCTATATAGGCAATATACATACACATGCATTTTACCATGAGAATTACAGTTCTCATAGTGACTTGGTTTTTAACCTATATTTATATACATTTTATTTCCATTACAAAACAATTAACTTTCTAGTGATTCATTTTAATTAACATATTACATAAAACAATTGATTTAAATGATTCGTTTTAGTAATACAACATAATAGGTCAAACAGTTTAAGCATAATAGGGTAGCATGGCACTTTTAAAATTAATTTACCACAGTAGGAAAGTTTTTAATTTTTAAAATGTAAGCAAGATGAGACTACATAGTTATGAACAGTGAAATAAATAATTGAGGTAATTTTTCATCAGTGGCCATTCATTATTTTACTTTTAGGAACCTGGAAGAAATTGTCATCATTGAGTTTTACATATTCTGGTAAATCTAAATGCTTCTTAGCTTCTTCAATATCACCTTGAATTGTTGAAATAAGTGACTCTAAAGAATCAAAGTTCCTTTCTGGTCTGAGGTAGCCAACAATGGCCACATTGAGGACTCCCCCATAGAAGGCCCCTTGGAAGGTATGGATATTATTTCCATGGACTTTTTCATGGTCTTGTAGTATGGGTATCATTCTATTCCCACCACCATCTATCTGTCTTATGGACATCTCCACTTCCAGCACTGCCAACACTGCTTCAACCATTATAAATGCCAGCAGATATCTGTGTCACCTACCCTGGTAGGTATCTTCCAGACACCTGGAAGATTATCTACTACTTATTCCAGAAAATTAGCTGTGGGGAGGCCCAGATGCTTGGAGCCACAGCTGAAACCTCTCACCACCTGGCCCCAGCAGAAGTCTGGCAGGTTTCTCATGAGGTCATCATCTAGGGACACCAGGTGCAGCCCAGTGTATGTGTCCCATGGAGCAGCTGTGGATGCTGTGCCTGGAGCCCTGGACCAGCAGATGGACAGGGCAGGAGCTCTGTGGGCTACATGGGCACACCATGCACTGTGGGGGTCCCTCACACAGCTGATCAACAGAAGCTACATGACAACTCAGGAAGTGTGTCTCCCCTTATTCACTTTCTTTTTTGAGTACTTTCTCTCTTTGAGTGTTTCCTCACCATTCGATCTGAACCCTCTACTCTCTCCTTTATAAAAGTCAGGTGGTCTAAAGGCTTCAACTACCACCTCAACATGGATAATCTTTGGATAAGCTCTCTCCTAAATTATTACACCAATTTCCATGTTTCCTTTAATGTGCATAAATTATCATATTATATAATCTATAAAGACTGAAAAAATATATGTAATTTTAGTTAGTACCTTTGAGAGAATTCAACTATAGTCCCAAAGGATAACAGTACTCATAGGATCTTTTCAGAATAAATAGCCAAATTGAAAAGCAACTTTGTAGTTTTGGTCCTCTTGACATTTTTGACACTGTTGACCATTCCATCTAAAAATTTTCTTCTCCCTTGGCTCGCTTCAAACTTCTATCTCATGGATCTTTGTTACCTGTCAAGCTCTTTTGCTTCTCATTAAATACTACAGTTTGTCAAGATTTTATCATTGGTCCTCATCTCTACCCACTCTTCCTGGGAAACATTGTGCAATCCATGCTTTCTCTTTGCTAGTAACTTGCAAAACCAGCCATAGTTTCTCTCCTGGATTCCAGACCCACATTGCCCATGGAATATCTACACCTGAATGTAGATGCCCCATCCCCAGGCTCCCCTATCCTGAAGTTATTCTTCTCTATAATACCTGTTCCTCCTTTTCATCCATCTATTAGTTAATGGAATTCCTCTAAGACCAAAACTAGAAATGTTTTGTCATCTTAGATTCCCCCACTATCAACCTGCAACCAGCCAACAGTCAAATGCCACCATTTCTATCTTCTATCTTTCTCTTCTTACCACACCACTCTGACATTCTGTTTCTTCCCCAACTCTCAGACACTTGCAGATCCTCCTATCTCATCTCCCTGACTCTAGGTCTCCTAAAATCCAAGTAGTACATGTCAGCAAAGTTAACTTTCTAAAAATTAAGGTCACTTTTATCTCCTATTTAGCAGCCTTCAATGGTCCACTTTATGAGTATAGGACCAAATTCCTTAGAATGGCACTAAAAGACCTTCCCACTGTAGCCAACTTATTTTCCAGTCTTATCTCTTGGCATCCATTCACATATGGTTTATGCCAAACCAAACTTCTCCCAGTTTTCAAATATATCATGTATGTTTTCATCTCCTTTATACATGCTGGTCTATCTAGTGTTTTTTCCCATGCAATAAATTCTCACTCATTCTTTAAGATACCATTCAAATGGCATCTCCTTGAGTCATCTAGAAACTAGTTTCTCCTTGCTGGCACTTCATAAGGTCTTTTCCTTATATAAATCTGCATTATCAAATTCTTCCACCTCTCTTATAATTATGTGTCTTGTCCCCTACACTCCACCCCATAAGATATGGCTTCATTAAGGGTAAGAACCATATCTTACTTATCTTTGCATCTATGGAGCACTTTACCAATAAAATGTGTTGCATATAGTACGTTCTCAGTAAATGGCTATTGTACAAAAATGGAAAAATCGGAGCCAAGATACTGCCCCCTCCCTTTAGGAAACAATGGGGAAAGACTGGAGAAAACAAAGAGTCCTCTTTTCTTCTGTCTTGCTACAACATACCTTATAGGTTAGCTGTGTTCATCAAAATAGTACAAAATTTTCAGTGCCCCAAATTCCACTTAGATAAGAGGTGCATTTTTAATGTAAATAGCTTCAGTGAATACTTCTCCAGTCCTTCCCATCTTTGTCAGTAAGTCAAACCTTACAGTGAATTAGACTAACCAGATGGCAGTCTTATTACCTGTTCTCACAGCAGGCTAAAATTTTCAATAGGGAAGGAGGAGAAAATAGGGAAATGGAGACTGTCAAGGGAGGACAAACAATGTAGGATGTGGTTCTAGAGTACCAGAGAGCAACTTCAGAGCATAGAACTGCTTAGGGGAGATGGGAAGAGGTGCTGCAGGGAGGAAGAACAGTAAAAGAAATATTCAAATTCAATGATGGAAACTTTGGTAGGTGCCAATTCCTCTACTCCTCCCCAGAGATGGGGGAAACACCCTCTCTCACACTCAGCAGGAGCAGCCCCACCTCTACACATGGGTTGGCCCTTCAGGAGAAGAGCTCATCGTTCATTGTTACTTAACTCCTGTTAACTCATGTAACCTCATTAATTTTCCACCTACTCCTCCCATTATCTTTCTTTTCATCTGATGAGGTGAAGAGAGGGGTGAGCTGGTTTCTGTAGTCCTAAAATGTCAGGCTGCCATAGAGGATCTTATCTATTACCTGATCCCACCTAAGACATTCTCTCTGCTCCTACCTTAACTGCAGCCATGAGCAGGCTCTCTGAGAAAAGGACTGTAAGGAAGACACCCAGAAGGTTTCCAAACAAAAATATAACATGCATCCAGGAGTGTTTCCTGCCTTGTGAAACCTGCACCAATTCACCTTAAAGAAACTGAAGCAAAAGGCTATCCCTGACGAGGCCATACCACCAGCACTTCCAAGAATATAATTCAGCATCTGTACTTCTAAACCACTGTTCCTCCAGACTTTCTTATTCTGTCATGTAACATCCACAGCCCAGTTGTGCTTGAGCAGTGGAGTAGGTTGCTGAGAGACCAAAAAATAAAATACTGAAGATGAGACATAAAAAATAAGATTTATTGAGAAATACTTATGGAGATATCCAATGGCAACGGGCTGGCCAGGTGCTTCACCAGAAAGTCCAGTGACAACAGGATGGACAGGTGCATTTCACATGGTGCTCCCAATGCTTCATCAGAAAGTAGCACCTCCATTCCCCCATGATGCTTTGTCCAGAGGCAGCCACCTATGCAGGCACTTCCCTCTCCACAGTGCTCTGATCCAAATGAGTTACCACAGGTAGGAGGGCTTTATAGGTTAGGTTAGAGAAGTAGCATAAGTTAGCTTGCTCTGTCCCATTATATGACGAGAACCAGAAATTTGACATTCATGCAAGAAAGCAAATCTCTAAAGATAACATTAACTTGCCCTAATTCCCAGCATACATAAGAGAAATCCAGTGTCCTTCAAGATAATATTTATCTGAATATTCTCACCCAGACTTGTTCTCATTGTACTTGGCTAGGTTTGGGGGAATGGAAAGTGGCATTCAGAGACATGATATTTTATTGTCCTCCTTTTCTTTAAGGACAAAACACCAATAGACCACTAATTCTTAGTTCTTGTGCACCTTAATATTCTATCAATAATTAAATAATAATCATTATTTTTCTTTTTTTTCTATGTCTATAATGGTATATCTAGACACTGCAACATTCTCCTAACTAGTTTCCTTGCTCCCAGTCCCTTCCAAACCAGTTAGTACACTTCCATCTGGTAAATCTTCCTAAAGCAAAGCTTTTCTGAGACATGGCCCTACTAAAAAGCAACCAGAATCTCCACATTGCCTATCAATGGTTCTTAATATATTTACTGACCACAAAGCAGCTCAAGTACACAAAATATTCCCAATGGTAACAATTTACCTGCAGTGATGCTTGGCAGGGGATAAGAACAGATTCTGAATCTCAGGGTGGGAGGGTTTTGTTATGTATAATTTGAGAAACTTCCCCTAGTAAATAAATGCAACATAAATATGAGATTAGCAGAATGACAGAGGCACATGCTGAGCACTGTGAATACAGGGCAAAGGTGATATACTCTCCCAAGCACTTTATCTCTTCCCATGATAGAAATCTCTATATTCTTTCCTGGGAAGGATCGGTCTCTTCTGAGGGTGTTGGTGTATTTCTGGCCTCGATTAGGTTAAAGGGAACTACAATACTTAGTTAAAGATCCACATATTTTATTAACTCCTCCACACCTCAGACACCGCCAACACCACCATAAGGACCACATCGAACAGAAAGAATAACACTACTGCGTTAAGATGTGGCTCTAGGCAAGTCATGTCCACTTTTGTGGTCTTCGTTTACTCCTCTTTAGAATGAGGGAATTGGAGAAAATGATCTCCATGATCCCTTCTAGTAGAGGCCAAGCAGGAAACATCTGGCACACTCAACTTACAGGAAGTCAAGGAGTTTAATAAAAGGACTATTTACAAAGGTCTGGATATGATAATAATCCCACCATGGGCAGCTATCATCACCCTTGTGCCCAAAAGGATAAAGGAAGGTAACTTCAAAAGGGAAAGTCCTATAAAAGGGGCCATTTTAAGACGAGCTATGGCTTTCAGTGAAAGGACACAGCTAAGTTATGCAGAAGGCCAGTGGAATAAAGGATTCAAACTTACTCTTCTCCCTTCTACAAATTTCTTATGGGGTCTCCACAGGGCAAACATAATAAAAGCCAGAGGGCAAAGTTGTCTTTCTGGGGCAGACAGCAGGATGGAGAAAGGTGAAAAAAAGGATCTGGAAGGGCAAACAGCGTTGTAAGGTCAGCACTCAATACACTTTGTTGATAGATTATTACTACATGTATGCAGACAATTTCTAGTTTCTCTTTTCTCAAGTTGCAATATTAATGTTTTTGTTGACAGATTTTCCTAATATATGTAAATTTAATTCTCAGTTTTTCTTCTCTATTACAGAAATACATACAGCAACAATAAAAAGACAATGTTCCTGAGTCTAACTTCCAATAATCAGTGCCTTCTCTTGGAGGAGCTAAGTGTAAGCTAAGCACCTCTGTCTTCCCATGCATTCCTTCATCCCCTCATCTTTTGAGGAATTCTTTAACACCATGTACAACTGCCACCTTCTCCATCCTGTGCACCAAAGTGCAAAATGATGGGCCCATTGGGACATTGCAGACTGATACAGAAAAAGCAGAAATTCCCTGGCTGTGGGAATGAGGGGCCGTAGATGCAGAGTTTGTGGCAAAGGATATGGAGCTTCCACTTGCAGGCACTGTGGATTCTCAGGATACTGGGAGAAAGAAAGGAAGGAAGGGAGGGAGGGAGGGGAAGGAAGGAAGGAAAGAAAGGAGGGGGAGGGAGGGGGGAAATTCTGAAGAGGAGGCAATTTCCTAAAATGCTGAGGAAACTACAGGAACAGAACTCTGAGCTGTGGATAGTGAAGCAGAAAGTATCTGACTACAGAGTAAAAAGAGGGTAAACGTGAGATACTTGTACCTTTTCTTCAGTGTAATCCACCACATGCATTATAAATAATAATAAAAAAAAACTAAATTACATTTTTGTTTAAGGATGGCTTTTTAAGTGGGCCAAGTGTAATTTCAGCAGATTTATGCCCAAAATAATTTCTCTCCTTTTTCTTACCAAGAACTGAAATTCCTAACATAAGGAACAATCTCTCATTTCACAATTAAAAGGAAAACTCAAAATGCAAATACCAAGGTTCTCGAAACAACATACGGTGGTTACGTTTCTATTAGTATGGATGAACAATATCATATATCCTCCCTAGACAGAGAAAAAAAGAAGTTAAAGACAAAAAGTCATAGCTCCAGGAAATGCAGACATATTTCAACCTAGAGAAGAGGAAGAAAAAATAGAGTTGGAGACACCAGTGACAAACTAACAGCTTTACCATCTTGTCCAAAAGCAACTCTATCCAGTTTCAAGTCTGCATAGATATCTAGGATCAATGCATGCTCGGATACTGCACCTAAAAGGACCTCTGATCATGAGGCATGCATGACATTTATTAAAACCAGGGCCAGTGAGAGTCCCATAAGATTGAAGGGCACATAAAAATAAGCTAAACAAAGAAAAACATTCTTTAAATTTTTACCTTAAAATTCCATTTAGTTCATTTATACATAGAAAATGTCAGCCTATACTAAAACAGACCTGCTATAATAACAGATTCCACCCATACCACTGTTATTTGCATTTCTGGACGGCCTTTAAAACCACAAATCCAAGTCTAATTAAATATCCATCAGTGAAAGATCATGGTAAAGAATGTAAGATCTAGAGACAGACAATCTGGTGTGAATTCTGGCTTGGCTACTAACTTATTAGTTGTATTACTCTGTGTATACCCTATAACCACTATTAAGTGTTAATTCCCTCCTCTGTATACAAGGGATAGTATCTGGTTTACAGAATAAAGTGGGTTACATGAGAAAATGTACATAAAGCCCTTAACACAATTTTTGGCACAACAAATGTTAAATAAACATTAGTAATGAAAGTTCTTGTTATTCATGCTATTCTTCTGCTTAGAGCACCTTGGTGGTATCAATGTGATAGAATGTAACAATCCATCCCAAAATAGACTGTGGGGTCTTCATTCTTGAAAAAAATTTTCAATTAACTAGCCAATTAATTAATTTAAAAAGTCTAACATCTTATAACTCTATAAATATTCACTTATTTATCAACGTTTTAAGACCAGAAAATTCTACTTAGCTCCACATTTAACCAAAATGATCAATATGGGAAATATTGATAATATCTGTGAAAGACACAAAAAGGTTTGATAGCTTTTGAATATGGAAGTTGGAGAATTCCAAAGCAATAGAACCTATTGAATTAATTCAGACATATATCATGAGTTCACCATTGTATTCCCTAGGACTTAGAGTAAAAACCTGATGAAAAGGGATTAATCTCCATAATTGGTATTACCAGCACCTGGAAAAGCCAGTTGCATAAAAGGATTAACAGAGCAGTTATGCATGGGGCTAATTGCTGTGATTTATTTTAATGACTATGCTGGGACTAAGGACAATCCTGACAAAGTTAGGAACCTCCAGAAATCCAAGCAAAAGGAACCCTCAGGAAGTTGGGGCAGAGTCTAGGCTGGGTACAGGCAAGACCTACATGCCTAACCTCTTCAAGGGCAGGAAATCTAGTCTCATTAGTTCTTTTTCTTTTTATATTAGAGTATTTTTAATCACAAAACAATGATAATAAAGAAAGCTTGTCCACTCTGAAAAGGGAAATAAAATCCCTTATGTACTTAATAATTTTCTAAGTCACAATGCTGGAAAATACAATATCAGGTTACTTCGAAAGAGTCATTGTACTAAAGCAAAGGCTCAGAAGATATACCTGTGTTCAAATCCCAGTGGAGCCCCTTTATAGAATAATTTGGGGCAAATCACTTACTTTAATAACTGTTTTAAAAAGCTACCTCATAAAGCTGATATCAGGATTTAATGAGAAAAATGCAGGTAAATGCTTAGCACAGGCCCTGGATCATAAAAAAGTCTGAATAGCTCTATAAACTCAATCTTAGAACTAACTTTGCAATGTTATCTGCAAATTTGTGTAATCCAAAAAAATTAAATGGTCTTTGGGCATTATCAACCATCAGCCCTGAGGAGCCAAAAAGATTATGATAAATTTCCCCTTTACCATATGTTACATTTAAATAATTATTTAAATCTTTTCCTCTGCAATTCCAACCTCTCCCAAAGTGATTCAAAGAAGGAGTTTCATTTGTTATGAAGCATTTTTTAAAATCTCTAAACAATAAAATTAAGACATTAATTTAACTTCATAAGACTTTTCCCTTAAATGTATATATATATATATCTCACATATATTCACTTAAAGTCATCAGAGTAGGGGATTATTACTTTCTCTATGAACTTTAACCTCAGTGTGCACCATTTCTAATCTAAAATTTTCTCCATTCTATTTAGATTGGCCCAAACTCCCTAGCTAAAAATTAACAAGAAGTTATATCCAAACGTGCCAATGGTCCACACGCAGCCATCTGTGAAATTATTGATTTGGATGAAAAACACAACTGGACCTAAAGGAATTTTTTTAAATTTATGAGGCAGGAGAAATAGCCACTGAATTTTTGACAATGTTTAATTTCAATATTTAACACTGGGGTCTGTAGAGTTTGATTGGTTGGTTGGTTTAGTACTTTCAGTTTTTACTATCTTATATGAAAACTAAAAAGAGTATTATATTTCTGCTTTCTATTCTATATCAATAACTTCTCCTAATGCAGGTTATTTGTATTGAGAAATTGTCTTTCACAGAATGAACTTAACCAAAAACAGAAACCTATGACAGGTCAATGAAATTTAAAAGTTAAGTCATGTTATATTTAATCCTTAAATTACATCATACTTATAGGCTAGCTAACCAGAAACCCAACCAGAACTTTCTATTCTCCTAATATATGAAAATCAAATTTTAGATTAGAACCACAGATTTTAATGGTTTACTAGCCTCAAGATCATGTCAGTAACTTCATGGCCAAAAAAATAACCATTAATGAAGAAGAAAAAGTGAAAGTCAAAATGTTTTCTTTATGAAACATTACATATATAAAGTACATTTATTCTAGGTATATATTTTATATTCTTTAAGATATCTCAAAATTCCTATGTAGAATCTTAGATTTCTTAGCGTTTTTACACAATATCCTCAATTCTAAAAGCATCATTTCTTTCAAAGCAAAATTAAGTTAGTTGTCTCCAACCAGTCTTTGTTTAAATTTTTGGCAATAGCAAAATATATAGGACAAAAGTTGAGAGAACAAAATAAAGGTGAAGAAAAAAGTGGGAAAAGGCACAAAGTGATATGAAAATATTCAGAAAACACTGAGTACCCAGCAGTACAGGAAGACTATAAGGCACCCTCCCTTCTATGGAAGAAGTTAAGTACCATGTTGCATTAGGAACAATAATGAAGCCAGAGTATTATAACATATTATAAAATAATCAGATGTACAACACAGGAAATGGGAAGAAAGAGATGGCCATGAAGTAGACTAATGGTGAGAAATCTCATGAAGGAGATGACATTTAAGCTTGAGTTTGAAGCTCAGGTAGAATGATTTGAATAAGCCAGCGAAAGGTAAAAAAGGCACTCCTCACCAAGAGCAACAAAGGTCCTAAATGGAACAAAGCATAATGTCTTGGTCCAGAGCGAAAAGAAAGGTCTGCTTATAATTAAAGGGTTTTTTTAAGGAAATGCTAACATTTTCCCTTGGATCACAGATTATAATTATTTATTATCATCATATATATTTTAATATTTAATATTAGTATTATCCATATTTTATGGGACAATAAACTGAGACACAGAAAGGCTGAGTGTCTTGCTCAAGGCCACATAATCACCTCCTGAGGAGAATGCAGCACTCCTTCCACTCTACCACCCTTACCGCAGGGGCATGAGGTTGGACGAGCGAGCAACATTATAGAAAAGACTTAATCCATCCACAGAGGCTTGAGAATGCTGGTGAAGTGATGACAATACTTTTTTAAGAACATTACTAATCATGCCACAGTGAACAGGATAGAACTTAATTGACATAGTGATGAGCCAAAAAAAATACTTCAGAAGCTGGTGAAGTAATCCTGAGAGAAGTGGTGAAAGCTGGATTAGGGGTTTGCAGTGATATTAGAGAAAGAAAGAAATACATCAGATATGGCCAAAGCAACAAAAAATGGTGACTTGGTGGGTGCAGGAAAAAAAGAATGAAGTCAGAAATTAAAGTATCATCCAGTGAAAAACGGATGGTGTAGTTCATTACATAGCAGTCAGACTCAACAGCTTCCCCTGGCCCTTACTCTCCTGCAAAGCCATGTTTTCCTCCTCACTGGCCATTTTCCAACTTCCAACTCTATCCTTTCATTCATTCATATTTTGCAGGCTGACTGTGGATTGGACAGTGGTCAGACTCTAAGAAACAGAGATTACAGTAAAAGTAATAATGAGAACAAAACCATTTATTAAGCTCTTATTCTATGTACGACAACCACTGTTTTAAATGTTTTATATTAATTAACTCATTTGATCCCCAGTATAACTCTATAGGCTAAGCAAAAGTTATTATTCCTACTTTGGAGAGAAGGAGGACATAGAATCCATCAAGTGTACACCTCCTTTCCCTGCCTGTCTCCTTTCACCAGATTGATGGAATGCCATTCTGCATTCCCTCAGCCCCCTACCCATGCCTCAGATGTAGCCTAGATGACTCTGTATTATTATCCCTGATTCATATGTATGTTTGTTTGCCTCTCCAGGTTGACTATGAACTCCTCAAGGAGCAAGAACTATATCTTAGTCACCTATGTAAACCCAGGTCAAATTGCATGTGCTCAATAAAACCTGTTGAAGGAATGAATACATTGACGAATATGAACAATCTGTTCCAGCCAAACTGGTCCATTTGGAGTCTCTACCAGCTTGGCATATTCACAGTCCCCACTTCCCAGAACAGTTCTCTCAATTATGTTGCACACATTGAAAAACCCCACTTATCCTTCCCAACGCTCAGCTTAAATTCCACCTGCACCATGAAATTTTGTCAGGTGGCCCTATTCTAACATGCCTCCTTTCTCATTAGTCTTAGGGTGCCAGTTCAACATCATAAAAGCTACCATCTTTGTACCTCTACCACCTGGTTCAAAACCAGGCTCTAACATAAACTAGCTGAGCTACTCTAGGCAAATTCCTGAAACTTTCTAAAACTTAGCTTTTTCCAGCTATAAAATGAGGTAAAAAAAAAATAGATATCTTAGAGAATCTGGGGGAGGATTTAAGAAATGTAAACCATCTAAACACAGCAAATATTCAGAAAATAACTCCTTCTCTCCACACCTCCAAACCCTGAAGTCTTTTACCATTTACACAGCTCTTAAGTTGACATTATATTTCATTTCTCTTCAATTAGACTGTAATGACTGATAAGATAACCTTAAGATCAGGGGGCTGAATCTCACTAATTTTTCTTTCAAACATCTATCAATGTGATTACCATAGAGAAAAATAAAATTAAGAATTACAAAGTAACAGTTATAGTGGATTATGGGAATCAGTGCAAATTGTGCTAAAACTAGAATCATAAGTTTTCATCCAATTTAGCTGTAGAATTATCACATGGAACTTCAGTAATTTCATTCATGCCAAAGAATTCAACAAGTGACAGTGCAAATAAAGGCAAATAAATTTCTAAAGTATACAAGTTAATGAGTAATTTCTGGTTCATTAAAGGTAGTTTTAAACTAAATGTTACAGTATTAGAAGGCCCACCATACCTGTATTTGTTCACAGGTAATTTTATGAAAAGGTTTCATTTCACATATTCTTAGGCTTAATATGATTATAACAGAAACCCTTCATGCCACTTTTAACTGAAATATTCATTTTTTCCTACTGGGTGGGGAAAATTATATGCTAAACTAGGGCAAAACTGGCAAGAGCCAGAATTTTTAATAATTGCCAGTGAAATAATCAAAATCTATCTTTAACTAAACTTTTTCTTTCCAAATAGCTTTCATTAGTCTCAAGGCTTCATCATCCTCTGAACCTGCTGGAATCTTTTTTATCCCCTATCCTGATTTATCATAGCCTTCCTTTATTGTATATTATCTTGATCAAGAATCAAATTCCCATGGTAAGTTTTCTTTCTTCTTTTAACTGCTGCCCTAGTTGCATGTACCAACAAGTTGGAGGAGTTACAATTTGTTGGGTAGTAATCTCCACTCTAACAATCAACTCTTCATTAATGCTCTCAACCACATTCCCTTTCCCTGCAGAAACTATTTCTTTAGATCATAAACTTGAAGATACAGCTATAAATTTAATTTAAAAAGGCAATTCTCAATATAATAATGAGTGCCAAATCCCTATTCTTTCAATATCTTCAAGCTTCTCAAGTTATTCCTGTTTTATTTTGTTTCCATGGGGAGAAGTTCATGGTAAGAATTAGAGACATTCAGTTCTATCAGACCAAATACACCACAACTGAGAATACATATACACATTGATATACTAAGAAAGTCAAAGTCAAGGAACCAAACTTATAATCAGTTCAACCATCTATTACATGCCTTTAGGAAAAAAATCATCACCTCTCTCAGCTTTAGCTTCCTGAGATACAAATTACAGATGATAACCACCATCTCTATCCTCAGCAGTTTGTTCCAGAGTATTTTACATTATAGTATCACAAAAAGCATTACAAAATTTCATATCATGCATTAATAAAGTTTCAATTAAATACTTCACTAGACAAACTGTTATACCAGAGTCTGTAAACAGTACACCTAAGAAAATGTTTTGTTTATTAAGAAACATACAACTATAGTTCATAACTTTTTAAGCAAGTACTCTTTACCATGGATATATATTTTTGCAAGCAAATATTTACTTGTAAACTACCATATCTAAATTCTCTTTTTCTGGTCAATCAAAACTTATTGTAAGGTACTAGAAATTAGTATTGAGATTAGATTTTTTGGTTCTTGTGCTAAGAATTTCTGTATGCTAGTCTTCATTAAAAAAATTTAATTATGAGGAATTTAGAAACAAAATAACCCAGGATTATGTCATATTTCAGATTTTTTTTGGCTATCATACTCGTGGTTATAGTTTATTATAAGGCAAGGACACGGAGGGTTCCAAATGTCTCAGGATATGGTACCTTCTCAGTGTTGATATATATGACTATATAGAGAGTATTGCCAACCAAGCAAGTTGACCCAAGTCTCCATGTGCAGAAATTTTATTAGGGCTGCATTAGATAAGCATGACTGATTGATTGCCTACCTAGTAGAAACTCAGCCCCAGGTTAGCAGATACATGATACAAATTTCCCACTCTAAAATCACTTGATTGGCATTTCTGGTGTGACCAGTTTCTACCCTACATATTTCAGATTTTTTAATGTTAAAAACAATGAAATCATTAAATTTTAAATTTCTCAATCAATATTTACTTCCAATGTTTTAGACAAAATATTAATATATGGGCTGGGGTTGTGGCTCAGTGGTAGAGTGCTCGCCTAGCACATGCAAGGCCCTGGGTTTGATTCTCAGCACCACATACAAATAAATAAATAAAGTAAAGGTATTATATCCATGTACAATTAAAAAAATTTAAAAATATATATTAATATATTTTCACTCTCCAAATAAAAGATTCCCTAACAAACACACATACATATAATTTCCTAAATTGTGCTTTTTAGGCTTTTACTTCTTATATGCAGCAACTCTTGGATGCTAATTAAATTATTTCCATATGTTTTTATTTTCTTTTTGGTTGGTTAAAGGTTTTTACAAGATATTCTTACTATAGCATGATTCTGGTAGTCTTCATGCTACTTGTTGTTCCAATTAATTAGAACAGTTTAAAGCATAAATTATTTAAATCTTATTTTAACCATAATTTTGTAGCTAAATTTTTTTCCCCAAAACTTTGCAAACATTCTGTGCAAACTTAATTAATGCTGAGGAAAAAGGATTTTAATAGTTGCCCAATGTTCTTCAAAAGACAAAAAGAATAATGAAACATGCTCATCTGAACTCCACCCATTTTTCAATTTCAACATAGTAAATCTCCTGTTTTTTCTTAGGGCATATTCAAAAGCATACATATTGGTATTGGTTATTACTGAAGATAATTTATGCAATCATAAGTCAAAGATGCTAAGTTGACAAAAAGAAAACCATGCAAGTAAGCAAACCCTAACATCTGAGAGGCACACCCTCTCAGTATATAAAGGCTTGCCACTGTCCTTGGTAGCAGGCACTCCCTGAGCTCAACAGCATCAACATGTCTGTTCGATACAGCTCAAGCAAGCAGTACTCTTCCTCCCGCAGTGGAGGGGAGGAGGTGGAGGAGGATCATCCCTCAGAATTTCAAGCAGCAAAGGCTCCCTTGGTGGAGGATATAGCTCAGGGGGCTTCAGTGGTGGCTCTTTTAGCCGTGGGAGCTCTGGTGGAGGCTGTTTTGGGGGCTCTTCAGATGGCTTTGGAGGAATAGGAGGAGGTTATGGTGGAGGTAGCTTTGGTGGAGGCTTCGGAAGCAGCAGCTTTGGTGGGGGCTATGGAAGTGGGGGCTATGGAGGAGGCAGCTTTGGAGGTGGCAGTTTCGGTGGGGGCAGCTTTGGTGGAGGTGGCTATGGAGGAGGCTTTGGTGGTGGATTTGGAGGAGATGGTGGCCTTCTCTCTGGAAATGAAAAAGTAACCATGCAGAATCTGAAGGACCGGCTGGCTTCCTACCTTGACAAAGTTCGGGCTCTGGAAGAATCAAACTATGAGCTGGAAGGTAAAATCAAGGAGTGGTATGAAAAGCATGGCAACTCAAGCCAGCGGGAGCCTCGGGACTACAGCAAATACTACCAAACCATTGAAGAACTGAAAAATCAGGTAAGGAGCATTTTAAAATCCAACTTTAAATTTAATTCTATCCCTGTAATATGGGTAGATGAATCTTAAATTAAGTATAATATAGCTGTTCACTGTGATTTTGTTGCTTCCAAATAAATCCAGTCTCATCAAGGATAAATTGAATGAAGGTATGGTCATGGCAATCTTCATCCAGCATGTGTTTTGTCTGTCTTACATGATGCAGATTAACAAGAAATTTTAGATTTTAATGAACATATAATGAGCCCACAGTTAAATATGCCAGATCATTTAAAAATGTAAGAGCTGAAAAATATTAAATGAATAAGAACAAAAATATTATTAAGACTGATAACAAATAAGCCATATTCAATAGCAACATTGCAAAATCCATGAAGTCTCCTTTATGGAATTGGGATATTGCTTAACTCCAGGGAATCTGTGAATTGTACCTACCAGTTCAGAGTATATCTATTTAGAAATATTTATAGCAAATGGAACAAATACAGGGGTGAGCCAGTCAAAAGTTGGTTGAAATACATAAAAATCACTAAGTATAAAAGAGGCTAATACATTAATAGGATTACATATAGTTAGTTTTCAGAAAGGGATGACACAGAAATAGAATAGAAACTTCAAGATAGGTTTTTAAATTTAAGTTTGTGGGTAAGCTTAAAATATTTTATATTTAAAAATAATCCACAGAAAAAGTTTTTGGAAGAGAACAACATAAAAATGCAGCTTATCTATGCCACTATAAAAGCCATATTTGCATCTGACCTTTTCTTAAATGACTGTTCCTCCAGATCCTCAACCTAACAACGGACAACGCCAACGTCCTGCTTCAGATTGACAATGCCAGGCTGGCAGCTGATGACTTCAGAATGAAGTAAGCTAATTGAATGTGCAATACTATCAATACAAATACATCAATTGTTTATAATAGTGACTTTAGATGCCATAGTAGCATTTACATTTTCCTGAATTCATTCAAAGTGACAGAACTGGAATTATCTGAGAAAGTTTCAATTTCAGAATTACCTTCCTGGTAAGCTTTAAAGGAAGAAAATGCATTTAAAGTAATTGCTAATCTTCCTATGTGAGTTAGTATATGGTAAATATTACCAGGACATGAAATCAACTCAAATTTTTTAAAGTCTTTTTCCACATACAACTCCTTCTTAAGAATTGTATCCAATATATGTATCATGCTTGTTGCAGGTATGAGAATGAACCCTGCGACAAAGCGTGGAGGCCGACATCAACGGCCTGCACAGGGTGCTGGACGAGCTGACCCTCACCAAGGCTGATCTGGAGATGCACATCGAGAGCCTGACTGAAGAGCTGCAGTACCTGAAGAAGAACCATGAAGAGGTGATACAAAATTATATTTCCCCCAATTTTTCAAAAGGTTCATTGTGGTCATGGTGCAGTCATTAAATCTTTTTTTGTTCCTCAAACAGGAAATGAGAGACCTTCAGAACGTATCTACTGGTGACGTGAATGTGGAAATGAATGCTGCCCCAGGTGTTGATCTGACTGAACTTCTGAATAACATGAGAAGCCAATATGAGCAACTTGCTGAAAAGAACAGAAAGGATGCTGAAGCCTGGTTCAATGAAAAGGTAAGTCAACCACCCTTCACAGTGAAGCCCATGTAAGTTTTGTTGTCATGTCCGAGTTTTCTCATATTTTCCCATTTTTATAATTCCAGAGCAAGGAACTGACTACAGAAATCGATAACAACATTGAACAAATGTCCAGCCACAAATCCGAAATTACTGAATTGAGACGCACGGTTCAAGGTCTAGAGATTGAACTACAGTCCCAACTGGCCCTGGTATGTTAAGTCTTGAGACATGACTTCCATTTTATCATAGAAACACAGAGCTGAGGATAAGAAAGCAGAAATAAAACTGGAACTCTATGCTAATGGAGGAAAAGAACTATTAGTATCAGTATGAAGTGCTGAGATTGAAATGTTGCCATTACATAAAACACTAATTTTATTCATTTCCCTTTTTCTCCAGTAGTATCTTATTAAATAATTTGATAAGCTTCAGTATGCCAATTGAACAACGAGGTCATTAAGCAACAACAAAATCCTCTTTTCAGAAACAATCCCTGGAAGCCTCCTTGGCAGAAACGGAAGGTCGCTACTGTGTGCAGCTCTCACAGATTCAGGGCCAGATCACCTCCCTGAAGGAACAGCTGCAACAGATTAGAGCTGAAACCGAGTGCCAGAACGCTGAATACCAACAACTCCTGGATATTAAGATCCGACTGGAGAATGAAATTCAAACCTACCGCAGCCTGCTAGAAGGAGAGGGAAGGTAATTGGAAAACTGGGGAAAAAAAAGAAATCCCAATTGTTTTCATTCAATATTATGAATAGCAAGGCTTATCCAAACTCCCAAGGAAATGCCAGAGGATGGGAAGAAGGGAGGTGTAAGGAGGAGGCAGGGTACCGAAAAAGGAGTGAATGAATCTCAGGGCTGTGTGTAGTTAAGTTTGTTTTAAACAGTGGGTTTTAAAACACGTGCTTGGCAGTACTGTATTCTCTCAAAACCTTGGCTTATCTACTAAAATAACAATCACCAGAGAGGGAGCCACCGTTTTCCAATGTTAGAAGATCACTGCTTACGACCCTCACCCCTCTTAGTTCCAGAGGCGGATCCTACTGCGGCGGACGCGGCGGGGGAAGTTCTGGCGGTGGCTACGGCGGCGGCAGCTATGGGGGCAGTTCCGGCGGCGGCCACGGCGGTAGCTTCGGTGGCGGCAGCTCCGGTGGAGGTGGTCACGGCGGCAGTTCCGGCGGCGGCGGCGGCGGCCACGGCGGCAGCTTTGGCGGTGGCAGCTCCGGCGGAGGCCAGAGCGGAAGCGGAGGCTTCAAATCCTCCTCTTCCGGGTCCGCTGGAGAGGTCTCATCTAAGGGACCAAGGTCAGCAGAAAATCTCTGGGGTAATCAGAATTAGTTTTAACTCTACGTGATGGTTTTAGTGCTTCTTAAGCTCTAGGGCTGTTTTTAAAAATGAAAATCTTAGGGTTTTCATTTGCATTTTTTAACAAAACGCACTTTTGACACCAATATTGAAGGAAAAGTGGCATGGTCTAAATGCCACCCACAGGGTAAACATTGATTGGATTATTTTTAATGTGAAAATTTGAATTTTCCTTTCTTAAAAAGTGCAATATCGTTTTTCCTTTTGAATATTTGCATGTTTATTAGCAAGGATACCTACAAATTGCTTAACCTAAATTCTAATTTATTTATTATTATTCACAGATACTAACAAAACCAGAGTAATCAAGACAATTATTGAAGAAGTGACACCTGATGGTAGAGTTCTTTCATCTATGGTTGAATCAGAAACCAAGAAGCACTACTAATAAGTAGCATCAAGACGAAAGAGTCTCCCTTCACACAGGCCATTATATAACAGATGCATGGCAAAATGCTCAACACTTCTGTCTTAATGGTCTGTGGAAACAGGTTCACTCCTTGAAAATAAGGTGTCTAAAAGGTGTTTTGTGATTTCTGTAGTTCTTCTTTTCACTTTGCCAGAAAGTGTTTTTTCATGGAAAAAGAAAAAAGAAAAACTTTCTGTTCTCATTTACTAATGAATTTCAATAAACTTTCTTACTGATGCAAACTATCTGAATTTGTCAGAGTTTTTCTTTACTTAATCTTGTGGGTATGCTCAGACCAAATTAATCAATCTCACTGAATAAAAAGGTTCAGAAATCCCCAGTCTTATACTTTCTTAAAGATATGCAATATGTAGTAAGCTCCCATCTCTCTTGGCTTTAAACTATTTCAGTCCTGGAAGTTTAAAATATTTCAAATAAGACCCAAAAAAATAAAAATGGAAATTCCACATTTTCTGATTGTCTACTCACATTTGCCTGCCCTTATTCCTATATTACTTCATTCCAATTGCTATATTGCTTAAAAGATACTTTCCAAACTTAACCAGCCCAGTAAAATATCAAGGCCGGCAAAATTATTTGGTGTCTATCAGATGATGCCAGTGTGATCAAAGGGGCAACTCTAGGTCTCTGCTTTCCACAATCCTCCCCAGGGATCAGTACTAAAGACCTGGTATTTTCAGGGTTAGCCCAGTGCCATCCCTTAGCCAATAATAACCCAGCCGGCTTTACTTAGTACTCTGCTAGGTAATACTATAAGGGGAAAAAAAGAGGCTAGAGGGCTAGAGTTAATATGTCCCCCTAAAACTACTTGTGTTCCCTGGTGGTCTCCTGGATTACCCATGCCCACCAAATAGCAACCTTCCTCAATACCTTTGAGTTGAGCTCCAGTTTCTCCCAGGATTGGAACCCTGGTTAGCATGACATTTGGGATTCCCTCTACATTATACACTACCCTCAAATCAATTACAAGAGCCATATTTCAATATGAATGGACTTCTTTACAGTCCAGGCTCCATAACCAACTTGATACCAAGTGTTACCACATCTGAGAAGCTCTCCACTTTAGTTCACTACCTCTTTATATGTGGACATTTGTACCAGCTTCTCTTATTAGAAGATAGTCCCCCATTGAAGACCCAACATGCCTCATTGTGAAGCCCTGAAACAGGTATTGCTGGGTGAGGACTGAGTTCCTACTGTGTGTAATAGTGCTGGAGTAGCTGCTGTTCAGAAACACGATCTTTGAAATTATTGTCTAATAAAGTTAACCAAATCCCTGGGATGGATTGCATTGTTCATAATGTGAGATGAGCATTGTCCTTATCCTGCAGAAATAAAAGTTTTCATATCCAATAACATTGATTCAAGACAAGTTATCATGAGACAGTTGTCCTTGGTATTAAGCTTTGTCTCTGTCCATTCTTCCCTCCTTACTCCAGCCAGGATCTTGGCTGGTTAGAATTCTTTATCTAGTTGAGTGGCAACCCAAACCTTCATTCCTGAAAAGCCTCAATACATAGTGATCTTCATACCTTTTCAATCCTCCAATACCTCATTAAACATTTATATTAAATTATCTCAGATACAGTAAGTACCTGATAAAGAATTACTCTCTTGACTGATACTGTGGTACAATGGTTGAATAAATATAATCTGTCAAAAATAATTTTGACAAGAACATTGGTATTTGTGAAAAATAATTTTTTTTAATTATTAAATAGCACATAACACTATTTTTACCACATAGCTTTGTCTTGTAGCTATTTTTTTAAAGTCCTGTACATATTTTTACAGATACTAAAATTGTTGTAGAATCCTGCTAAGCAGTTCACAGTGAAACTGGCAGAGTCAACTTGTCACCCATGTGAAATTATACTGCATAGTAAAAAGCTTGTTTCTCCCAAATATTCTCTAATGCTGCTAAAGACCTTAACATTTTGCACACTGGCCTTGATATTTATGATGACTTGATATTTTGCTTGATAATGGAGAATATCTTTGTTAGTATCGCCTTTATCAGGGAGGTAGCTTGATTAAGATTAAATAAAGGTACATCCAGTATAACCCATCTGGAGTGCATCTTGACAGTAGAAATTGGGGAAAGTGCCTTCTCATGGTTATAAACACGAATTTTCAAGTCAGTGATCCCTGGGTTTCATATCCTGGCATTACATTTACATATTATGTTAACATAGAGAAGTTACTTCTGAACCTTAGTTTTTTTTTTTTTTTTTTTAATCTGTACAATAAAAACAAAACAATAGCCTCCTCCCCACACTTATCCAAGGGAAGTACATTGCAAGACTTTCAGTGAATGCCTGCTAGTACAGAACTCCATAGTGTGTTTTTTTTCTATACACACATACCTATAATAAATTTTCACCTTTACAACTTCTCTTCAGTGTATCCAAATTTCCAGCATCACTAGTATTGCACTTTGGGGCCATTATTAAGTAACATAAGGATTTGAGGAACACAACCCCTGCAATACCACAACAGTCAATTTGATAAGTGAGCTTCTAAGTGACTAATGGATGGGTTGTGTATACAGCAATTCTCACCCCAGAAGGAATAGCACAAGATTTCATCACACTACTCAGAACATTACACAATTTAAAAGTTGTAAATTATTTATTTCTGACATTTACCATTTAATATTTTTGGACCTCACTTCACTGTGGGTAACTGAAACCATGCAAAGCAAAACCACATATGATGAGAAACTACTGTAAACCACAAGCTGAAAATTCAAAAGCATTAAGCTAAGTCAAAGGAGCCAGACTCAAAGGCTAATGTGCTGCATCTCGTTTATATGATATTCTTAAATAAGTCAAGCTGGAAAATTAGGAAACAGACCAGAGGTTGCCAGAGGTTGTTCACCACAAAGGGGTACAAGGGAACTTCTCAAAATTATGGAAATGTTCTCCACCTTGTTTCTGGTAGCTACAATACAACTGAATGTGTCGAAGTTAATTGAATTATACATTTGCTATAAAGTTCACAGGGGTTTTAAACCTCAATAACCTTTCCTTTTTAAAAAGTGAAAATAAACAAATTGTGACTGAACATTTCATTTTTCAGTGTGTTAAATGTTGTCGATTTCTACTCTATTTTTAGCTCCAAAAACAAAGCTTATACTCTAACAACTGGAAAGTATGGAATGTCCTTATAACAAGGAATATGGCACAAATAAATAATTTCCATTATAATACATTTTAATGACCATGCTTTGTGAGTCATACTCTTATTAATCTAAAGAGCCTAGGAATTAAGTAAAGCTGAACCATAGACTGTCTATAATCACATCAGCTTATACCTGCAAGGCTGGTATGAGAAAGAAAAGATAAGAGTCATAACATACATACAATCTTTAAAATTCTTCCCCCTGCTTCTTCTGGTATCTTGTTATCAAAGTCAGTTTGGGGGTGTGGATGAGTCATATTTGGATAACTAGGTTGTTTCTGTTGGGAAGAGATACAGGGAGCTGGTAGGTAATTGCTACTTGATAGGCAGCCAAGAGAAACAGGCTCACAGCAACATCTCCTCTCTGATGTATCCTCGCCCTTCCAAGCTCCATGTCACCTCCCTCTTGAGGTCTTTTTTTTCTTCTATAAGAAGTTTATCTTCCAAATTGCCTTTTTAGAAAAGAATGAAATAACGTTCTCCCTGCTGCCCATCACTCATTCCTTTTCACCTCCTTCTCCCCAAACCTGTCCATTGTCTTTCTGCCTTCTTAAAATAACTCCAGTTATTGATCTAAAGGAACCTAATGTCTACCCCAGACTTTAGCTCACAGTGCACACCATTTATTGGTTGGTTGAGCATTCATTTAGCAGCATCAGGCACTGTGCCAGGTAATGGGGATAAAATAGTGACCTCAAAGAGCCCATAAATAGCAGAAATAGCCACTCAGAGGACAGAACGCACTACACAGAATTAATCCCAGGTTGCTATGGTAGCTTTAAAATGCAATATTTCCTATACAATTGAGATCATCCCTAGCAACCTATGCCCTCTGAAATGTCCACAGGGGGTCTACATTCAGATTCAAACCAAACTTTCAATCTTCTCATTTCTGGTGGGAAGAGATTCAGGGAGCTAGTAGGTAATTGCTCTTTTTTTCTTTTCATCTACTGTCTTAGTAGAACTGATTATCTTCTCCAAAATTGGTGACAAAGACCAAGATGTCCCATCTTGGTAGGGACAAAATGCATGACATTTATTTATTTGTGGAAACTATGTTGAGATGGAAGAAATGAAATAATCACAATGGAATTTCTACTTCATTCTAATTAAGGGAAAGGTATTCACATAGCTACAAGACTCTAATGATCATAAATACTGTTTAGAATCATTTATATGTATATAGTTATTCTTTATGTGTAGGATACTGTATTATACGATGAGGACACACCAAAGTAAGGAAGTCTTTGCTTCTGTTATCAAATGATACAGAGAACAATGACACTCTGTATGTACAGGTAGATGTTTACAATTATCAAAGTGCTTATCTCTGTATGTAGAAATCATCTTCAGCACCACCTTGGGACCTATGCAGAGCTCAGAAATACTAAATGACTTGCACAAAGCTTCACACACAGCAAATGGCAGACTTACATCCTGAACCCAGGATCTCTGATTTTTGAGCCTAGAGCTCCTTCTTATAGAGCACAGATTTCTAGACATTTTCTATTACAGACTCCTAGTCAATAAAAATATTCTGATGTGCCCAATGAGTATATTACTTACCTTAAATGATACATAAATACATGCCTTCATATATGTGCTGTACTGTAGCTCGATGTACAACATATATTAGTGCAAACACAGTGAAAATTTTGGTCACAGCCATGCAGACAGAATTCCTTGCAATTTGGCATAAACTGGAACTAGTTTCCAGACAGATCATTATAAATAAGATTTTCACTTCAATGAATGTCCCATGGGAGATTCAAAAGTCATGTGGAACACAGGACAATTCCTTGTGTCAGACTGTATAGTGAATTTCTGGATAGCTGGCATTCTTGACCCCTGCCCAACCACATGCCAGGAATGATCCTATCACTGTGATGACCACACACACACACACACACACACACACACACACAATGTTCTCTAGAGGACTGTCTCCCTTCACTGAGACTGAGAACTAAGCTTTCATTCCTTGCACATGAAGAGTACCTGTAGGAAAAAAAACTTGTCAGCATATGTTCCCCAGGAACTC